GCGATAAACAGCGTACTGGGTTAGATTTGAAACTTCGCGGGATAAGATATGCGTGTTTGTTTGACTGACAGTTCGATGCTTAATTAGCCTGTAAGACTTTCTTTGATATTCCACGGATCTGAGTGCCGCACTATCTGCTGTCCTTTAATTGCTTAAATGGCCCCCTGTTCTGTCTATGAAACATTGCTTTTCATGAATGGCAGGTCACTGTAGAGCTGGCATGATAGGACCAAGTAATCAAATTTCATACAGAATCATCTGTACGCCTTGAAACTCTTTGTAGTTCGTAAATCGAAAAAATACCCCAATGTTCATGATATGAATATCTTTGTTGGCCATGCAAAGGTGTTTCTACTTTGTACCAGCACATATGTGATTCATGTCATTCATGACCAATCCTTGCTAAATATTGCATCGCCCTAAGAGGTCGTGTAAGCATTGGGCAGTGCAGTATGCCGTGAAATATGGTCTTAGAGGAATTGTGTTATTTATCACACGTTGACATCCGAACATAGATTGATGTCTGTGCAATTGCCTATAAGGAGAACGAGGTGAAAAATTGTTCACTGCAAGCGTATGTGACTCTGTCGGACAGAATGATGCGAGATGCATCTGACCACGGCAGGTGCTGATATACCATGATGACGTGGCTTACCAATGACAGCGCAGAGCAGAGGCGGTGCGATATGCCGTGGGGCCTGGTCAGAGCGTGGTGACATAGTAGCAGGAGGGTCGGCTATGAACTGAGGAGGTACTACCTGTTAAGGTGCTAACCTTCATTTAACCGCGAATTCAGATAAGCAAGGAATTAACTCCGTGTTGCTCTAGTGCAGCCAGCCAAGAAGAGAGAGTAAGGCAACGGTCTATGAATAATGGGGATATCCTGATATTGTGGCGTGGTCATATCAGGATGAATGAGGTGTACCGCCATTCTCTCCGGTGCGAGCATTCCTTATGGCTGCAGTACGCGTTGACCCACGTGACAGCTGTGTGTAATCATCACGTTAGCTTTTTCGTACTAGCAGAGCGTCACTAGTTTGTGATATCTGTTGTGTTAGCAGTTTTGCAACTCTTTTGCTGTTCTGCTTTGCAGTGTTACTGCATCACGGAAAGAAACTGTTCCTCTTTGAAAAAAGATACGCTTCTTGTGTTTAGGCTACCGCACGAGAAGCTTGTGGATTGGAGTAAATGGTTTATGCTTCAATCAGTTTGTTCAACTGGGCCAACCTACTTTTCTTAATCTTCATATCTGCCTAAGGCACCTGTGCAAAGAAGAGAATGGAGTAACTTCTTACGTGGTTCTGTCATTTAACTCTCGTTATGCATCGAAGCTAACGCTGATGTAACCTGTTCAATCGTCGTTCGTGTTCCTTTGTTAGAAAAACTGACCTCATGCTGCACAACAACATTAATCTGACACAGGCAAGGCAAGAACAGATTTCTGTGTAATGAACTGCACCTTTCTGAACCCGGTTTTTCGACAGGTTACGAAAATCGTGGATGCGGCGACAGTCTTCCAATTTAGTTTTGATTGGATGGTGTCGTCACTGCGGATAATTGAACAGAGATTAATTAAGCATGTCCACTTCCTGTAAGGCTTCTTTCTGTTCCACTAGTAGATCCACCGATAGCCGACTATCCACGGTAATAATCAGCACACGGTTTTCCTAGGTATCTTCTTTTCTATACGCTATTTTAAATTTGATTCTGTATGACAGAAAGATTATTAAATCATTACTCTGCATAAATTTTCCATTTGGTTTATGCCTGTGTATACTGCTTCTACCATGTAGTGTTGGCTAAGTAAATGTTATTGATTTATAAGTTGTACTCTGCGCAGTGGATGACGTTAGCATCTCTAGGCAGACTGAACTTCTGTCTTCAGCAGTGAATGACCCAGGCCTGGATTCAATTCTGTTTTGGACACATTGCTTATCCGCGCGCCCGAGAGAGTGCTTCTTACCGCAGTTGCATTTCGAATGATCTTTATTTTGTTTAAGTCTACTTTATGTGTTATTCGTGAATATGGTTTCTTATCAAATAATTTTGTATTTTCCCGAAAACGTCCCTGATATGAATTGAAACGGCAAATAGCTTCCAGCAGTAATGTTATTAAAATTTCTATTTTGTATCTGATAAGTAAAATTACGTCATCTATGAAAATAAAGTTGAAATAATTATTCTGCTGTAAAGTGATGGGTTTAAATTTAAGGCGCTCCAAATTTTTATAGTTGTAGCTCATGCCTCTATTTTTGTTTAATGGACTGATCATTCTTCCATAAAAATCTAACTTGGAAATTGCGTTACGAATTTTTTAGTCCCCTGAATTTTTGTTACAGACGATGGCTGCGAGTGCTGTACATCAGAGAGTTCGAGATCGCATCACTGTTGTCGTTATGGGATGCGATATTTGCTGACAACTTGCCTTTTTTCCATTTGCTATACGTGTTTGTGGCGATGCTTGTTTACGTCCGCGGACGCTGTATGTTACCACGTCGCTGTTCTTTGTTCCTGGATGACCGCACTTTGTTTTAGTGCTTTCTTCTGGCGTCTCCGGTTGTTTGCAGCTGCTGATGAACTATCCGCGCACCATTCGATTCCCGGAGTTGATGAAGTTGATCGATATGATCGCTGTAAACTTTAAGATTATTTTCTGATATTATGTAGTACGGTTATGATGAT